TATGCTCTCGGTTTCAGAGACACCGGGCTACTATTTTTTGTAACTTTTAACAGGCTGAATATTATTTAACGTTATGAAAAAAGTATTGCATGACATTATTGATATATACTTAAGTGCTAAATCCAAGTAGGTTTTGCTTAAAGATGTTTTGGAATATACATATTCTTATCAAATGAATCTGTGTGTTCATATTGTAATTGGAATATATCAAGAAATATCATAGAATACTTTATAAATATATTCCTGCATGTCATACCATGTCCTAGTTACACTGCAGAGTGTTGTAAAGTTGGGTATTTGTGTAACACTTAGTGAGTTCTTGGAGCTTCTTAATATGTTGCTGTGATAATGATGATGACGTTTATAGTGACGGAGCTGATAGTGGTTGGTACACTGTGATGCCTGTTTACCTTAGGGCGTTTGGGAGCTTCGTATGGTATTTGATGCAGTTCTTTTTTACCAGATTCACACATATATTGCCTTGTATGCAGAAATCAACACATGCTCTATGAACTTCCAGAAGTTAAAGGCAAATAATATAAAACGTGTGGGAAAAGCAGATTGAGGTTTAGGTAAATGGCAAGCGGGAATGGATAGGGTTGGAGGGTGGATTTAGGGGAAGCCAGAGGGTCGTTTCTAATTGGCTGAGGTGAACCACCTAGCTTCCTACCTCAATGTGTTTTATATAATTCAATGTAAAATAGTCGGGGTGATTGATGATTCAGCACTCACTGGTTCACTCCAGTCATTCGTTGATCAGCGGTTAGTCACCGCCCTATGCATGTATCTATGTTGAACTTCTTTCGCACCGTACGAAGACCACCGTGCTCATCGGAGGTGCGGGGGGGAAGAACAACAAACTAAACACAAAGAACATTTTTAAATTACTTTTCTATTGCACTACCATGGTTACCGTGCCCTTGTTGAGGACTACCAATCTGACTGTTTCGTCTCATTCACCCTATTCAGCCACTTCCCTTTCTGCTTCTTCGCTCGCACTGCTTGATTCAGGAATATCCTCCAATCCTCTCTTTTCCCCAAAATTGTATGACCTTGCTCAATTTACGAAATTTGGTAGCTCTTATCTAGCAAAATATTTATATAGATTCTCTTAAAAATGTGCTAAATATAGGCTCTTTATAGTATATGTCTTTTCATGGTATTTGAGTGTTGCTATCTTAATTACGATCATCGTTCATGGGATCCAAGGACACCAATAGACAATCGTTAATCCTGAGTTTTAGCTATGATGCCATTCCAAGGTGACCATTTGATCACATAATAGTGCCACATTCTACAAAAAAATACAAGAAACCCCACGACACCCTCGATTGCTAGGCGAGAGTATTATGTTTTAAGCAGGAAAAATGCCCCATTCGTTTTCCCAGTAGGCGCTGTGGTTAAGCTCAGCCATCGCCTAAGGCACTTCCACTTACTCAAAAGAACCCCAAGATTCCAGCGTATGGTCTTCTCTTGGTAAAAAGCTGTTATATTGATGTATCACCCTGCCATTTATAGCAAGACTGTGAATAATACACAATCCATTAAGATAATCTTGCCATTTACGGAAATTTACAAGGGCATTTCTGATCGACATTTTAAGATTTAAATACATTAAGGCGTCATGCCTCTACAGTACTTTTAAAATGATTACGTTGCGACACAAAGCTCTTTGTAATTTTTTCATTGCATACATTCTCAAACATTTTTTAAACATAATGTTCATCCACCAATGTTATTGTCTTATAACCTTCAGACAGTTACTGTAGTTCCAAAATGAGAACACATCAATATATTATCTCTTCTGTTGAAATCGAAGTTTACATACAGATACATTAATGTATACACACTTTACGAATATATGTCCGTGTTGCTGGTGTCCTCTGAAACTTACAATTTGTAGGCAATGGATGTCAAAATGACTTGATATTACCAAGTCTTGATATTAGGAAGCCCCACCGGAGCTATGCATTTTTAAATCTAGATTGAAAACTAATTTCTCTAGAACTGATTTTTGTGTTTAGTTTGTTGTCCTTTCTCCACACCTCCGATTACCACAGTTGGCTATGTACGGAATGAAAGACGTTCTACATACATATATAAATACCCAAAATCCACTTGATATCTACTGTATTCTTTGGTCCTCTCATAAATTTACTTTGGGGGAAAAACAATATCCTGGCTAAAGAAATAGATATAAACTTACATGCCCATTGCATTGTTTTGGCTGACAGGCATTTGACAAGAATACATTCTTGAGATCAGTCGCAAAAACTTTTCTTATTCATGTGCTCTTTTCATTTCTCGGTGTTTCCCTGCAGCGCTTGAAATGTGGCTGTCTTGAAGTGCCTTTAGCAGCGCGGCTAGCAAGCCACGAAACCCAGAAAATGTTTCTTTTAGCCAGCGTGGAAAACAAAATCTGATTGAACAAAACATTATAAACACCACACCTTGTATTTGTTAAGGACACAACTTCACAATCACTTCACAGGGTTTGTAAAAAAAAGAGCTCTTGATCCTCATAATATTTTGAGGCCACGGTGGTGAAATATTAAATACTTCACCTGGTGTACAGGAGGTCATGGGTCCAATCCTGACCCTGACGCCGATATATTTGAAGTTTGCATGTTCTCCCTGTGGTCGCATGGATTTTTCTCTGGGTCCTGTGGTTTTTCTCTCCACATTTATCATCAACATGCGTTTAGATTATTTGGCTTCTATACATTTCCACGTGATTCGCCACCTCGTTGAGCTATCATTTGTGGCCAGGTCGCTTCTGAAAAATAGCTTTGCATATTCATTCCTGTTGTGAGCAAACCTTACCTAAAAAAATGTATTTAAGATTTAGAGACTGAAATGGGGGTCACAAGACATCTGGAACACCTTGTATACAATAATTAAGACAGTGCCTCAGTGTTGATTGTCCTGGATGGCTTTATAGTAATTTTGTGTCCAAGGCCATTCTTTCACATGTCATGATTCCCACTCACTTTACAGTTAACTTTTTTTTAAATTAAACCACAGAAAGGTCCAGGGAAATGGAATTCTGTCCTTTGCAATATAGACTCGTAAGTCAATACTCTGCATAATGTAGTATGAAATAAATTTGTGAACACTTTATCTGTGGATATCTTTATCATTTGGAATTGTGGATTGCGACGCTATCTCGACTACAATTTTTACAGCCCATTAAGTGCTTTGATACAAAAAATACTTAACAGATGTGGAAGATAAAAATTTATTAACCTCTACAATGAACGTTTATTTGAACATTAGAGCCTAAATGTTTTCAGTTCCGCTTTATGACGACACTCCCAAATCAGTGCAGTATGTTACACATAACAGGCTTTCACCAGCTCACTACATTACAAGCTGCACAAGAATATCAATACAGATAGTTCACATTCGGTGTACATGCGCTGATCATCTGTTTTACAAGTTCTAGACCAAACTACGCTTTCCTCACGGTTCTTTTGTGTCCTTACAAATAAGGAAAAGCGTATCTGCTCAAATATATTGATGCTCATATAAATTTGATGCTCTTATGGCAGAGGCCAATTTATCTTCAGTCTTACCACTGTTGATTCCCACGAGGCAATGCTTACAAGTTCTAGACCAAACTACGCTTTCCTCACGGTTCTTTTGTGTCCTTACAAATAAGGAAAAGCGTATCTGCTCAAATATATTGATGCTCATATAAATTTGATGCTCTTATGGCAGAGGCCAATTTATCTTCAGTCTTACCACTGTTGATTCCCACGAGGCAATGCTTACATTTTAATGACCCTGAACAATACAAAACCGAGTCAAACTCCAACAAGGATTTAAATCCACAACCGTCGGTCCGTGAGTTGGGACCTCTAACCCATGTGTCACCTGGCCATATGTGGATCTGTGTGTGTGAGGGGTGTGCAGTGTGGGGAGCGGTGGCGTAACGTTTAGCGTGCTGCGCTATGAACACGGCAACCCGAGTTTGATTCCCGCTCACAGCCAACACCTGTTGACAAATATTTTAACAGGTCCAGGGTCTCACCTATGTCAACTCAGCCTTTAATTAGTACACGGTGCAGTGTGTAAACATCAGCACTGTGGAGACAAAGGCAGCCAAGCGTGGTGTTGGCCACCCACCCCCTCATATGCCTTACCGGCCTTCATAAGTGCTCGCTAACAACACTTACCCCAGCAGTCTGTTCAGGTTATATATAAGTCAAAAACATTTGCGAATAAAAATTTCCAGACTGCAATCACACACACACACACCACATTGAGTTTATGTTTAAATACATATTCAAATTACCAAAATAATAAAAACAAATGTAATCAATTAAGAGCCTGCACAGGAGTTGCCCAATAAACAAACTTGCAGCAAATGCATGTAGCCAACTTAAAAATCGGTTTCTCCCTGGTCAAATGAGTGTGGGGTGATGCTTCATCTCTTATTTGTGGGAACAAGCCAGTGGTGGAAATTCCACATTCTTACATTGGGGGCCATGTAGTTGTTAAATGTTTGAAAAAGGTTCAAATCAATTTCGTAGTAAAACGAGACACCCTTTTTAAGAAGAAATATTAGATATTTTTAGAGAGTTGTTGGTTGGCTTTATATTGTTCATTGTTTACATGAAATATATCCCAGAGTTTAAAGGTTGTTTACATATGTCCATTGCGATTATAGCTGCTTAGACCCCTTTATTTGTAGGGGATATTGAAATGATTATCATCACAGGTAGATTCCTCCCAGGGGCTGAAATTTATATTTGAAAAAATCGCTTTCTTGATTTAAGATTAAAAAAGGGTCTTTATATGGATATACTTGTACATGTCATGGGAATGTGGAATACCTACCACTGGCTCACTCACAAAGTTTGCAAGAAGCCTCCCTCGCCTGAGCTTTGGAGACACATTGCGATTACTTAGACCAAGCACGACAATTCCATCGACTGCTTCTGCTGTGCGCCCTGCAGAGTGTGTAACTCACCGCGGCCTGTGCTGTGCGTGCGCAGGGCATGATGAGCGTGCGCGTTAGGCTGTCCCGGAACCCATGGCACTGTGACTGCGCCCTGCAGCAGGCGCTCTCGGGCGTCATGGACGCAGACCCGGTGGGCGAGGCCCTGTGTCGCACAGCGCTCGTGCCCGAGCTGGCGGGGAAGACCCTCAGCCGGGCCCTGCCCGCACTGTGCGGGGGTTCGGCGGTCGCCGGCGGGCGACGGCGCCGGACCACGGACGTGGCCATGCTGCTCACAATGGCCGCCTGGTTCGCCATGGTCATCGTCTACGTCGTCGTGTACGTGCGGCGCAACCAGGCCGAGACGCGGCGCCATCTCGAGTACCTCAAGTCCCTGCCGAACTGCCAGCCAGGGCAGGCCGACAGCGAGGAGGCCGACACTGTGAGCAGTGGACTCTAAGTCGCGCGAGTGGCCGGTGGGCCTGGGTAACAGTGTGGAGCCGCGCTCATGTGGTGGCGGCTCTGCAGAATATTGGTAGATCGCACAGGCCACGGTTGGGCATGGGACGCCTACCCTGATTGGCAGCAGGTGGCTGACTAATCCGTATACATAGATTCGTGAGTGTTATTCACCTGTGCAATTGTTTTTTTTCTGTGCAGGCGCTAGATTTTGGGCTCGCGCTAAAATACTCACTGCCAGATTGGTCGAATGGCCCAAGCGAAATGCTCGTGAGAATACATCTTGAGACTCAGTGGAGGCTTTGCACGGTAACTGAAGGACCGTTATATTATCGTAGTGGTACATCCGTTACAATGGATGACTAGAGTCGCTCGGTATATGGGATGGACTGAGACCTTTAAAAAAAGAAGTGTGGCCTTTAGCTTGGTGAGCAATGGATATAGTTATATTATTTGAAATATTTTGTGGTGAAAATAAAAACTTAAGCAGTGAGGTTGGGCTTCACTTGTGTTTTTCTCACTTTCATGTCTTAAATTACCTAAACCAAGACTATAGTTACATTTAGGAGGAAGGGGACACTTTGTACACAACAGTGATGTCGTAGTTCACAATGTCACGTTTTCTTCTACAGGAGACAAGGACTGCATTAATATTTACAGGTCTGCAACCATCCTCCTCAAGGAATTCACCCACACTTTCATTTATATCATGGGTTGATGCAAAGGACGGGAGGTCAAATCATTGGCTTAGCCTTTCTCAGTGACACAGAATACCCCAATTAGGATTTATGACAGAACACAAATAAGTCAGGGACCAACATGTGCAGCCTCCAGTTCTATCTGGATGGAGTGGGTTTCTTTCTTGTTAGAACGGTATACTGACATGTGTTGTCATGAAGGGCAATTAAATATTCAAAGCTTTTATTATGATCTTACATAATAACATTCACGGGTTCTTTGGCACGCAAAGCATCACTGGTCACAGGAGTACGGGGAGCATATGAATTTTTTCTGACTTCCAACAGTAAGAGAATGGCAGGTGTAGTTATCGAAGTTAAGAGATCACGTTAATTGGTGTCCTGACTTGTTGCCTGCATGCACGTGCAGTGACGCTGCCTGTTATGTGGTCTGACCAGCTCGTTGTGCCTCAGGCTTGTTCCATCTGGGCCGGCCCTCTAGCTGTTACCGTAGGCGCACACCAGGCTCAACATCCCTGGCGAGTCGGTACAGTCAGCAGCTGACAACACACCAGGCTCAACATCCCTGGCGAGTCGCTACAGTCAGCAGCTGACAACACACCAGGCTCAACATCCCTGGTGAGTCGCTACAGTCAGCAGCTGACAATACACCAGGCTCAACATCCCTGGTGAGTCGCTACAGTCAGCAGCTGACAACACACCAGGCTCAACATCCCTGGTGAGTCGGTACAGTCAGCAGCTGACAACACCCCAGGCTCAACATCCCTGGCAAGTCGCTACAGTCAGCAGCTGCCAACGCTGAAGCCCGGGCGGCGATTAACTAACCCGGAAAACTCAGCTTGTAGAAGTCTGGGCATGTAGAACCCCTGGTGGAGGAAATTTCACCAAAATGGTCTTTGGACCTTCCACTGCAACCAGGACCATCTCCAGTCGTCTTGACTACGTCTTGCCACTGGGTACAGATGGGGCTGGTCGAGAGAGTGAGGTTAACGCTGCGCAAATCACCCTCACTTACATCCAAGTTCTCTGCGCAAGTCATGGCACTTTACGATCGTCATTATCCAAGTCCTGTGGCGATGGGTGAGCGACGAATCAGCAGGCACGGATATGCTGAAAGCTGTAGCCACAAACCTGCACGCAGGCGGCTCAGGATATTGGTCGTTCCCTCACTGGACCGAAGCAGCAGTGAAGTCCGGCAGCACCCTGAGCCCTATTCAGGATCACACTGCTCACCTCCATAGTGAGAAAGGGTTAGAAAAGGTACCCTAAATATTGTCTGCTTCAAAACATCCTGGCCAGCCTACCCCATACCTGCGGTCGAAAAACTAATAAAATGAAAAAAACCAAAGTGATATCACTCACTGTTGGCGCCTGGAATGTGCGCACTTTGATGGACACATCCGGATCAAAAAGACCTGAGAGACGCACTGCCCTCGTGGGCAGAGAGCTAGCCAGATACAATGTGGATGTTGCTGCCCTTAGTGAGACCCACTGGCCAATACTGGACAATTGACTGAAGTGGGTGCAGGTTACACATTCTTCTGGAGCGGACGAGGCCAGGAGGAGAGACGTGATGCTGATGTTGGTTTTGCAGTAAAAAACCACCTGGTCAACCAACTGGCAAGCCTACCCAAGGGTATAAACGACCGTTTAATGACCCTAAAGCTCCACCTATTGGGTAAAAAGGAGGCCACCATCATCAGTGCCTATGCCCCTACCATGGCCAACTCTGACGAGATCAAAACCAAGTTTTATAATGACCTGTTATCAGTAGAGTATCATGCACGGGCAGACACTGGTAACAAATAGAGCATTTGAAAGTTTAGCCTATGTTTTCAGGTCCTATTCGTCTGCAATAGAAGATACTCTGCTACTATTGCCAGGAGCAACTCTCCCTGACTCCACAGCACCTTTCCCAATTCCCCTAGGACCTCTTCATCCCCAACCCCAGCTAGTCAAGGCTTTCCATGAGGATTGGTGTACCCTGCACCAGGGCTCCTTCATGCCTTAACCTGTGCTAATGTGCCGCGACTAGCACCATCTTCACAGGGGTAATTTTAAAGTTCAAAGTCAGGGGCCCCACGAGACGCCAAACTGTGTACTCAAGGGCTGTCGGCTGGGGTGAGGAGCTGCGTTTTTAGGCCTCCCATCTTAGTCAATAGCCACAAGCAGTGTAAATTATGAAATGTACATATTTGACGAGTCTACCGTGTCCCATGCGGACCGTCCAAATATTGCTTAGTACGTTCAGACAGTTATGATGAGGATTTGCTAGCATCTCGTCCAATTGAGCTTCATTCTTCTCCTTTTCTACAGCCCTATTGCAGAGAATGATTAATGGAATGATTGAGAGAAAGCAATGAGAAACCGGGAGAAAAAGAATTTGAGTGATAGAGATCGAAAATGTAGGGGAAGCCAGGTCGGGATAGTGGATGTGGGAGAGGCCAGAATATAAATAATGGAAGGGAGTGAGGTAAATACGAAGATAAAGACATAGAGAGCAAGACGTGGACAATACTGAGGACAGACATTCATATAGCGACACAGCTGGGTAAACGGTTTGTGAGATAATGCACATGCATTTTCAGAAACTTTATGGACGTGGGTCACACTTTGGCCAAGGGCCATGTAAAACTGGCAGACACTCAATTTTGGTGCAGCCAAAATAAAACTGCATATACAGAGCGCTGTGCCAGACATGAATGGCTCACTGCCAATATGTGAATGTCACCTCATATCCCCCTATATAAGTTAATAAAATGCATGTCTCTGCATCTTGATTTCTCAATATATAATCGTGCATTGACAAATGAGGTATCATTGAGCCATACTGGCAGTCAAGTGGTTTTAACTGCAATTGATTGACCACATGATTTTCGTAAAATATAAATATATGAGAACAAAGATATGACCTGCTTTCAAAATCACAGCAATGCCCGTTGCTCTCCATAACATTGGACTTTAGAATCTGGATTAATTATTCATTAACTACCTGATTTCCACAAATGCTATCTTTTCTCATCCTGAAATTAGCTGCTTTGTTATTTTCATTCAGGGTTGGACTGGGTGACCAGAAAACAGCTCATGGAATTTTATCCATCACCCAATCAGCCTAAATGACTTGTCTACGTTATTTAGCTGGAAAATATTACTTTTCAAATTTGCCTGTGTGACAGCCAAACTCCATGTTTACTTACCAGTTGAATGCCCTATTTCCCTGCAACTCAGTCTCACCCTTTTGTCATACAACTTATCTTGAAGTAGTACCCATATTCGCTATTCTAGCCCAACGTAGTGAAGCCTTGCTTAATCAGTGTGCTTGTTAAACATTGATATAATGCCGTAGAAGTTTTTGGACCGAAGTCAGCAGTTCAGGTAACTTAGCATCCACCATAATACAGGCAAATTGTGGTTCAGAAGTGCGTTCCAGAGGAAATTTTAAATGTTTATATGCATATTCCTGTAACTATTGTCAGTCATTCATAATTACCATATGGAGGGATTCTGTTTAAGGTTGGTTGGTAAATGCTATTCTTGTAATTTTGTCTCATTAGTGTGCCTTGGTTTGTATTTTTTTTTATGAATCATCATTTCTGAATACATATGCTGGCACTTTCCCTTACCACTGTTTAAATGTCAGATTCACAGATTTATTTTCAATTTGTGCCACAAATATGTCCAAATAGTTTGATTCTGGTATTCCCTTGTAACTGGTCCCTTATGAAAATTGTAAAGCAATAAAAACACTGAAAAATCTTCACCGCCATTATCATTTACTGCATTAATATTCACAGGTCTGCAACCATCCTCCTTAAGGAATTCACTCACACTCATTTATATCATGGGTTGATGCAAAGGACGGGAGTTCAAATCATTGGCTTAGCCTTTCTCAGTGACACAGAATACCCCGATTAGGATTTATGACAGAACACAAATAAGTCAGGGACCAACATGCGCAGTCTCCAGCTCTATCTGGATGAAGTGGTTTTCCTTCTTGTTAGAACGGTATACTGACATGTGTTGTCATGAAGGGCAATTAAATATTCAAAGCTTCTATTATGATTTACATAATAACATCCACGGGTTATTTGGCACACAAAGCATCACTGGTCACAGGAGTATGGAATTTACCTATTACAACATCGTAATAGGTAAAAAAAATGTTTTATAAACATTTGTAAACATTTTGGCACCTAATCATACATTTCCACCAATTTTCTGGAGAAACACGGGCCAAGTTGGTATAAAAGCAAAGCATTGGTCATATTCATGCCAAATAATAAACAAATTATTTGGTGATAATGCGTTGCCAGTCATACACAAGCACAAATAAAAAAAAACTTAACACATTTGTCAATAGCGCTACCTTAAGAGAATAATTATATAACGCAAGGCCGTAGCCATGGAGTCAACATTGGGGGGGACCAAATCTTCAAGGGGGTCTGGGGTTCCCCCGACCCAGAAAAAAAAAATCTAAATTTGAAAACTAATTTCCTGCCTAAAATAATTTTTTTTTTTTAACTAACACATAGGATAGACTTTTTATTTGTTTTTTACAATAATGTCTAATAGTGTATTAGACATTATAATGTCTAATAGTGTATTAGACATTATTACTCGTGATTAAAAAGCAGCATCGTGTGACCAGAAGAGAAATTAGGAATGTTAGACACTTAAAGCCATTTAATGGATGGACCAACTTTATGTGATTAGAGCATTTATTTTACAAAGGTTAAAATACCTTGATGCTGTTGCTTTCATTTTGTTGGACTTCTTTTTCAGTATAGTCTTTATTTCCAGCACACTTCACGTATAATTGAGCACAAAAATGTGTCATTCATACCCCTGTGGCACGTAATAATAATAATGCAATTTATAACGCGCGCAAATTTGCGGACGTAACGGCCGCAACTCAGAGGCGCGAAGCCAAGCTCAAAGTCGCTCGAAAGCATGGTTATAGAGGTGAGTTTTTAAGCCTCTTGAAGGATTATATAAGCAATAGTAATTGCTACTTACAAGTTTATTGTTGTTATTTAAAAATCGTTGACACTCAATTTTTTTTTACAGGAATGTTTTTAAATTGATCTTAGTTTCTACAATTTTCACCGTGCATTGCATACTTTATTTGACATATTTGCTAAATCTCGTGATTAGATATTGTGAGAAAGTTACTCCTAAAAATGCAAAATGTATGAGCTTAATTTGTCTCCCGCTGTGCCTATTGTTACGTTTTAACATCCTGTTTCTTTGAACACGATCTCGCAATACTCTCGGTTGTATTGTAAAATAGCAATTACTATTGCTTATATAATCATACTTCAAACGCTAGTAGCCTACAGCACATGGAATTAGCTTTGGCTGAGACGGCAGCATTACTCCGTTTAGGCAAGCATGTGAGACGTAATAAATAAAGATCTAAGATAAAATTTACCAATCTTTGGAAGAACGTAATCAACCAGGTAGGGTGTTGACTGTTGTGTTAGCCGACTCTCTGTGTTGTATTGCATTATATTTCTAAGTTTACTATGTTTGTTTTCTCATTCATTCTTACCTGATGATGGTTGCTTGTGTTGTAATCGAAACGTCGTATTCAATTATTATTCAATTAATTTTCTTTCTACGTGACTTTACCGAAAGAACCAAAGAGTTATAAAGATCTATTTTAGGCAGAGCAGAGTCGACAGCATTGGAAGATGTAATAGGATTCGAATGCATTGTCTATGTGTCTTCAGTGTGGAAATACACTCTTTATATGTGTGTATTTATCGCCCCGCAATGTGGCAATCGTATAGGCCGGTGATAGTGTATGTGTTGAGGGGGTGCAGTGGTCGTGCCGAAGTGGTTCGCACACTGCGCTACGAACCAGATAACCCAACTTCCTTTCCCGGCATGGATGACTTCAGTAGAATCTACGATATGAACCTGTCCGGGCCCGCACTAGGTTGACTTGGCCTTACATGGGTGCCTGTTGAAGTATGTAAAAATCAGCACTGGCCAGATATTAGCCTTAATAGATGCTCCCTTACAGTACTTGCGAGAACAAAAGCTTCAGCTATGGACTGTCCTTGTCAAAATGTAATCGTTCGTACTTTAACACTCTTATCTCCATCTTGTGCATCAGCAATCAATTTCCCTCTTGCCTGTACCCTCACTCCATCAATATAATGGCCTCATTGGTAATGATTGGGAATTGAAGGAGCATC